GCTCAACACAGACAGCATCGTCAGAAGAAAAGTTGATAAAATAAATTAAAAATTTTGTATTGTTCGATACATATACGTACCGAACCGAAAGCACTGTATCGAACGGTTCAATATCAATATGTGTATCCTTGCAACCCTAATATATATATATATATATATGTATGGAGCAATAATTTTTGGTGCCAAGTTTCTGGTATTTGGTTGAAGTCTTCTTGAGTTCTATCAACCAATCACAGTATTGTCAAAACCAGTTTTTTGGCTGAATTCTGGCCACACAAATCGAGCTGACAAACATCTTGCGCCTGTGTTTCAGGTTCTTTATTTACTATAGATTTCTATGAGATGTTTACATGTAGTACATTGGTTAAAAAAAAAAAAAAGTACAGTATGGATTAAATCCATTTACAGAGCTGGTTAATGATTTTAAACCAGTCTGGTGGGTGGATTATTATCCCTCCCTAAACAAACATTTTCTTGAAAAGACTGACACAGATGCAATGCAGAAACACAGCCAACAAACCTTTTATGATTATCGCCTCAAGGATTCACCTCTGGTTTTTTTCTTAAATAATTTTTTCTTTTATTGCTGTGCTTACAAGTACGTATGGGGAAATTACACAAAAAAGTGAAATAAACCTGGTGTGGACCCGCATACAAAAACCTCCTCCTCAGAAAAAAGCACCACTTCAGGTTGGTCTCCATAACAAGTACAAACAAGTTTCTTTTATCTCGACTGGCATACTGGTGATACTGGTGTCTACGTTGTGAGTAAGAGGACTCGTATTACAGCAACCTTACGCATTCACAGACAAACGCTCACTGTAGCCTGCACGATACATGAGAGGCCCCGGCAGAAAATATTATTGATGACGTCACCTTGTCTCCAAGAGTCAGATCGCATAAACAACGGTAAGATCTGAGCTGAGCAGGAGAGCAGGCGGTTTGGCGGAGGGTCGTGATATTCCGCATCTCCTCTCTGAGAGTAAACATACAGCTACCCACATCAGTCACAAAGTATGCACACAGTCGCACATACACACACAGCGTTGGCAGCCTCATCTAAAGCATAAACACAGGTACACACACAAATTCACCTGGTGAGGCAAACAAGGGTTCAGTAATATGTCTGTGTGGGTTCTCAGTCATCCAGGTTATGATAAACTAA